TTTTTTTTTTTTTTTTTTTACTTTAAAAAACTATCAATTTTAATAGAAAAAATAAAATAAGTCAGTGCAAAAAATATTTATAAATTATAAAAAAACATTCAAACATATAACCAATTATATATCTTTTCGGACAAATAAGAATCACTTTAAATATTTATTTAATTACCGGTGTAACAACATGTAAGAAGCAAAGAAAATCAAAAAATGAATATATGTAATAAAAGATGCAAATTAACAACAGATCTGTATACAGATCTCGAGTTGTCACGATCATACGTATAATTTGTATGCACTGCGAAACAAATCGATCTGACATATTCTCGATGACCAGGCGCCAGATCGGCGCTGCGATTTCTCATGCGAACACTGTTGCAGTTAATCTCAAGTGCATGAATTATTCCACGGGAACAAACATCATTCCCATTCGATGAATCGAATCGAAGCGAAACCAGTCGAGGCGACACCGTGTATCGAACTTCCGGTTTTGCGGAAAATGCAACTCTCGTAGTAGTATTGCGTAATTACGAATGAGGTCGCTGCTCTCGTAATATTATTGTATCGTATTTTGAAATCATTTTGAATTCATTATTTCGTAAATCTTTTGACATTTAAAACACAATTTCGTAAAAACATTACTCGTAATTAAATTCAATTATCTCTATAGTAAGTAATAAATAGTGAGTAATAATAATTTGAATTTAATTATCAAATTTAATTATTGAAAAATGAATAACATTATTTTTTAAAAATAATTATAAAATAATACCAAAAATTGATTAATTTAATTATAATTAGGGAATTAATTTAAAATTAAAATTCGACAAAATTCAAATTCAAACTATCAAATTTTATAAATAATTTGAAGAAACAAAATTCTTTAACGGAAACTGTACTTAATAATAACTAAGCGCCAGAAAAAAGATCAACGATGCAAGGAATATTAGACATTGGCATGCATTTTAGCGTTATATTCGTATATGCAATTTACACCTACGCGCGTTACACATGAATATGAATTTACAAGAGTCAAAAGGTACATTAAGTCACTGACGTTTAGAGATTTAATTAAAATACAGATTTATGGATAATGTTGTTCAAATATTTTAAAAAACATTTCATTATTTAAAAATATTTAAACTTAATTAAAATAAAAAATATTTAAAATTAATTACAAATTATTCATCAGAATCTTAATATAATATCTTAAAAATTAAAAAATTGAATCCAAAAATCTTGAAAAGTTAAGATTTTTCAATTTTATCATCTGATGATTAGTTCTACTTGTTGGCCACTAGATGGTATTTCAATGTCTATAAATTATTCTATCTTCAGAAGTTATTTGTAATTATTAAATGACAAAGAATATTTCAATAAATTAAATATAAATTATTCATCACAATTTATAAATTATTTATTAAACTTAATTTGAAACTTAATTGAAACTTAATTTGTCATAAGTTTGCCATTTAATGATCATTCATTGTAAAATATTATTTCGATGTTTATTACTTGTAACAAATCAAATTTGTCTTAACTATGTTTTACATTAATTAATGAGATTACTTTTCATTATTTTCCTTTTTAGGTAAAATTTATTTAACAATTAATATTGAATTAATATTAAATACATATTTGAAAAATTCAAGATTTGTATTAATTATACTTTTTCAAATCAATTTTTTTTAAATTAATTTTTCTGCTAAAAATAAAATCTTAATTTAATTTTAATTTACTAAATTCTTTTTAACAATATATAGTTTATACCAATATTAAAAATTATTTCATTCTTCAATATATTGGAATAATATTTGTTTTAAAAACTATATATAATTAACAATTGTTCATCATGAAATTAAAATTCCGTTGGAAAAGACAGCAACTAATTATGAAAAGAAGAAGCAACGAAGAATATTAGAAAGAAAGAGAGAAATAAAGACCGACGCGACATGCAGCTTTACTATTTCAAGCGAGATCAAACGAGCCAGTTTTGTGTGCCCATCGGCATTTCTGTCGTACCGACAAAGAAAAAGAAGCTTATTATTCTCGGAATGATGAACAGTTGCACTTAACGTCGACTCTATCCCTTCTTTGTGAAACTCTTCATTATGAAAAATAACAACATTCGTTGATTCTCTTCTTAAAGAAATTTCTCTATTTATTTATAAGTTTTATTTATATATTATATATAATATATAAATAATATATATATAATATATATTATATATTATATATAATATTATTTATATATTTAAAACTATATATATATTTAAAATACGAAAATATCGGTTTAAAAAAAAAAAATCAATTTAATGATCGATACGAACTTTCTAATAACTTTTAGTGTTCATCAGATGAATAAATTTAGACTAACATTTCTTTGATTCAAAATTCATAACGAAATTATAACTAGTTACTTGGTAGCAACTGGATTTGAACCGATGCACTTCGCTGCACATTGTAATGCACTATTGCGGAAGAACAATTAACGAGTTCATTTAACCTGAATGCGTTGTTCCGCGGCTTTATTAACCAGTTTTCCGCGAGGACTTCAGGAATTTCTGTTTCCTGAGTTATCCGAAGTAAAACTCGCACATATATCGTCTTTTTTTTCCTTCCCATCATTCCTCGATTTCTTCGTTTGAGTCGCGAGCGAGACGAAACTGTTTTATGACCATCGGCAATTTATTTCACGTGATTTCAGTGCAATCGCAGGAATGTGGGTAATGCATGAAATAAAGATCAATTTCTTATGAAAAGAATTAAAAAATTTTTTAAAAATATCTATAAATATCTATAAATATAATTTTTTTAACTAAAATAATTAATACATAGATTAAAAAATTTTTTGAAATTTTAGTAAAAATTCCTTCAATATTCTTTAGAAATCTTTTCGAAAAAAAATTCTGCGTAGAACGTTAATAATTACTTCGTTAGATATAAAAAATTTCCTAAGAATTTATATCGATAATTTCTCTTAAAAAGAAAACATTAAGTAATTATCGGTGAAGATTTAAAAATTTAATGCTAAACGGCTTGTGTTTTATCTTCTTTTATCTTCGTCAACATTCCCATGCTTTTTCTTGTAACTTACCAGCGTGACAAAACGATAGTTTTCTCGACCACTGACTATCTATTCTTCGTAGATAAACGCGATCACAAATCTATGAGCGGCGCCGTATAAGCGCAAAACGATTGCCATCTGCACAAAGAGGGAAAAAAAGAAAGTATCAAGGGACGCGAGAACATACAACTTAGCTTCCTGCTAAATATATATATATATATACTTGACTGCTACTTGGAACATAATAAATGCTCCAAGTATTGTCAATGGAATCGAACGAATGTTATTACTGGGAATCGAAATATTTTTTTCTATTGCAGTACATGAAAAAACTTTCAAAGGAATAGAAAATTCTGCGAACAGATTCATGAAGATAAAGTAAGTAGAATACTTTGATTTCCACATTTGAGAATAAAAAAGTTAGATCGTCATCATGTTTTTATGTTATTAAGTTATTTTTAGAAGAAAATTTTATGGAATTTTAATTATGAATTATAAATAATGAATAATTTAAAATTTCGAATAAAATATATTTGATAAAAATCAGAAACAACTTGAAAAAATTCATAAAATTACATACATATTATATATACATTTAAATTATATACATATATACATTATATATTACATAATATACATTATATATATATACATTATATATATTATATTATATATACATAATTATATATATACAAATTATATACATATATCATCAATATTTCTAATCAGTTTCAATTAATATTATATTGAAACTTGTAAATCATTATATTAATTTTTACATCAAAATGTAATTTTTTTACTTGTTTTCAATATATTTTATTAATTATAAATAAAATTTATTTTATTTGCTAAATAATTGAATCGAACACTAAAAAGTCAATACTTAACCTAAAATTTTGCCTCTAACAAACTGCAGAAATTTTATTAAACAATTTGTTATAATGACATAAAAATACTTTCTATTACTTAAAATATAAAATATAAAAATAGCGCGTGGGAATTTCGCGGGAATTCTGAACAGAGTTGAAAAACAAAGACAAACAACCTAGCACCACTTTCGAAACGATCGATTCGATTCATTTCATCGATTCTCACACTAGATCTTTTTATAAGTAGATACAGTTTCAAAGAATCTGGTGAAACGTGACGAGGGAAAACTCGTGTGAAAGTCAGGAGAAAATCATGAATCAAAATGCACGAGAAGTCCCTAATTGATGTTAGGTAGAGAGCAAGAGAGAGAAAGAGAGGAATAGATAGAGATGAAATAAGAAAATGCGAAAAGAAACATGCTAACAGTCATAACTTGAGTCCAGCATAATCTGGACAGCAGCTTGCTTGATGCGCTTCCTTCATAGCATTTCTATTTACGACTTCCTTCCTAGATTCATTATGGATAAATAGAAAATTCTTAATCACACGTGCGATTTTCTTGTTATGTTCTGAGTTATGTTTTTAGGATGTTGTTATTCATTGTGAGTACTACATATGTTAAGACGTTGCTATGCATATGTAAGTACATACATATGTTGAAATTTTAGTGTTTATTTTAGGAATGATAGAAATAATTGTTATAAAAATATTTTTATGAAATAACATTTTTATATCACAATAATTCATAAAAAAAGGAAATTATATATATATATATATATTTTTGTAAAAAAAAGTATTTATAATAAATATA